TGCTGTCTTCCAACAAGTCCTCCTGACGAGGCTTTCCAATCGAATCTCTGCGTGGTGCTTTCCAACGGAGTCCTGTCGTGAGGCTTTCCACTGGAATCCTCTGCGGCGCTATCCCAAGGATTCATGTTGTGAGGCTTCCTGATTGAATCCCTCTGTGGAACTTCCCGATGGGTTCCTTTTACTTGTGCGGCTTCCCAAGAAGAGCTCTCAGTGGTGCTTTCATAAAAAGTTATCTGGTGTGAAGCTTTCCCATGGAATCCACCTGTTGTGCTTTCCGATGGGTTCCTGCTTGCGCGGTTTCACAATAGGAGCCACACAGTGGCACTTCCCAGTTTAATTGAATCCCTGCGTGGCGCTTCCCAAAATATCCCCTTCGCGGTACTTTCCTAAAGGAGCCCGTCGTAGCGTTTTCCAAAGAATTCCTCTTGTGATGCTTTCCAGTAGGAGCCCTCCGTGCTGCTTTCCAGCGGATTTCTCTTATGAGGCTTTCCGATTGAATCCCTGTGGTGTGTTTCAAAAGAATTCCTGTTGCGAAGCGCCCCGGTCTAATCAAATTTGTTGCGCGGTTCAAAGAATCTCTATCGCGAGGCCATCCGATAAAGCCTGTTATATTCCCTGCCAACTGGTTCTACTTTTTTGTTCCCACGGCATCCTTTTGGGGCGCTTTCCCGAGGATTCCAACTATGATTGTTTCTGACACAATGCGTGTTGCTATACGGCGCTTTCCAGATTATCTCAATTGTGAAGCCATCTGATGGAATTCGCGCGTAGAGTTTCGCACAGTGTTCCAAACCCGCGGTTGTCTAATCGACTATTTTTTGTGTTGTCCAAAGATTTCCCCCTTTGATGTTTCCCAATAGAAGCCCTCAGCAATGCTTTCTAAACGGATTCGTGTACGACGTTTCCTATCCAATCCTTGACTGTATAGGTTCCGAACGGATTCCTGTTGAGAGGGCCTAGAAACCATGCGGGGTGACTTCCAAAGGATTCCTGTTGCGGGCGCTCCAATACAACCTTGGTTTGTGCTCTTCGAAGGATCTCAGTGGTGAAGCCTTCCGATGCAGTCTTTCAGATTCCTTCCCACAGGATTCAAGCTGTAAAGTTTCCCCACAGTCCCTCTGAAGCGCTTTCCAGAGGATTCCAAGTATAATTGTGTCTAACAGAATGTGTGTTGTAGCGCTTTCTCATGGGTTCCTGTTGTGAGGCCATCCACTGGAGTCCCTGTGTAGCCCTTCGCACAGAATCCGTTTGTGGCGCTTTCCAACGGATTCCTAAAGTGAGGCTCTCAATGTAATCTTTTTGTGGCGCTTCTCAAAAGATTATTCTTGTGATGCCTTCCAATAGAAGCCCTCAGCAAGGCTTTCCAAACGGCTCTGGTTACGAGGCGTTCCAATATAATCCTTAGGTAATGATTCCCATCGGATTCCTGTTGTGAGGGCATCGAATATCTTTGCTTCGCTTTCCAAAGGGATTTGCTTTTGATGCGAAAGGAATTATATGCATTAAAGTGTAATTGTGAGAGAGGGAGGCAGGCGGAGAAAGCGAGAGAGGACATATGAGAATGGTTAAGACAAGGCTCAAAATTCGTAACTCCTCGGGCACACCGAGGGGCTCCACAATTCCCCGGCCTCCACATTTCGTGGTCCAATCGAGAGCTCCACCTCAAGCCCCACTGGCTGTCGGCATACCTGGTCCACACGATTTCGGCGCCCCTCACACGATTCGCGGCCCTATAAAGAAAAGGTCCTAGCTGCGTCCACATACCTAGTCCGCACCATTTCTGTGCACCCCTAACAGATTTCGTTGCCCCTTTAAGGGGGCTCGATCGAGTGTCCCAATTGTAGCAACCGCATGAGTGACCGCACCCATGTGAGCACACCCCATCACGTGTTTCGTGTCCCGCTTGGGAGCCAAATCAACAACAAATCGCATGTCTGAGCGCGCTCAATTCGGCGCACCCCTTCACACCTTTCGTAACCTGTCGCCTGCTGCCCCCCAAACGCGCGGATCACCCGTAACGGGTTGCATCCCAATGTAACCCGTTACGGCGGACTTCTGCGACCCCATCAGCAGCGTCGCTCCGTCCTTCCCACGCACGCCTCATTTCCCAATCAAGCTGTTGTTGGGTCCTCGTTTTGAAAAGACAATCCCCGCGTTCCTCCTCCTCTCCTCCTCCTTCACATCCTCCTCCCCCCTCTTCCCGCCACTTTTCTCACTTCGGCACACCCCTCACACGTTTCGTGGCCCAGTTCGGCGCTCAACCGAAGGTCCTAGTGGCGCCGCCCGCACGCGTCCCCGCCGCCCATTTCGGCACACCCCTCACGCGCTTCGTGGCCCCATAGGGAACTCGCGCAGCCCGCATGGTCTGTGCCACCCATGTCAGCACAACCCTCACACGTTTCGTGACCCTATAGGGAGCTTCACCGTAGGTCCCAATGGCGCAGCCCGCATGCGTCCCCGCCACCCATTTTGATACGCCCCTCACACCCTTCGTGGCCAGATAGGAGCTCCACCGAAGGTCCCACTGGCGCAGCCCGCATGCGTCCCCAGCGTCCATGTCGGCACGCCTCTCACACGCCTCGTGGTCCCCATCGTAGCTTTACCGAGTGTCCCAATGGCGCAGCCCGCATGCGTCCCCGCCACCCATTTCGGCACACCCCTCACACGTTTCGTGGCCCCATAAGGAGCCCCACCGAAGGTCCCAGTGGCGCAGCCCGCGTGCGTCGACGCCGCTCATGTCACTACACCCCTCACACTGGCTCAGATCGGAGCTCAACCGAAGGTCCTAGTGGCGCCGCCCGCACGCGCCCCCGCCGCCCATTTCGGCACACCCCTCACGCGCTTCGTGGCCCCATAGGGAACTCAACCGAAGGTCCCAATGGCGCAGCCCGCATTGTCCGTGCCACCCATGTCAGCACAACCCTCACACGTTTCGTGACCCCATAGGGAGCTTCACCGTAGGTCCCAATGGCGCAGCCCGCATGCGTCCCCGCCACCCATTTTGATACGCCCCTCGCACCCTTCGTGGCCAGATAGGAGCTCCACCGAAGGTCCCACTGGCGCAGCCCGCATGCGTCCCCAGCACCCATGTCGGCACGCCTCTCACACGCTTCGTGGCCCCCATCGTAGCTTTACCGACTGTCCCAATGGCGCAGCCCGCATGCGTCCCCGCCACCCATTTCGGCACACCCCTCACACGTTTCGTGGCCCCATAAGGAGCCCCACCGAAGGTCCCAGTGGCGCAGCCCGCGTGCGTCGACGCCGCTCATGTCACTACACCCCTCACACGTTTCGTGGCTCAAATCGGAGCTCAACCGAAGGTCCTAATGGCGCCGGCCGCATGCGTCCCCGCCGCCCATTCCGGCACACCCCTCACACGTTTCGTGGCCCCCGAGGAGCTCTGCCGAAGGTCCCAGTTGCGCAGCCCGCGTTCGTCCCGGCCTCCCATTTTGACACACCCCGCACACGTTTCGCGGCCCCGCAAGGAGCTCCGCCGAAAGTCCCAGCTACGCAGCCCGCATGCGTCGACGCCGCCCATGTCGGCAAACCCCTCACACGTTTCGTGGCACCAATCGGAACTCCACCGAAATTCCCAATGGCGCTGCCCGAATGCGTCCTCGCCACCCATGTCGGCACAGCCGTCACACATTTCGTGGCCCCATAGGGAACTCCACCGAAAGTCCCCGTGGCGCAGCCCGCATGCGTCCGTGCCACCCATTTTGGCACTCACTCCTTTCGTGGCCCCGGAGCCCCACCAAAGGCCCCACTGGCGGTGTCACATGCTTCCCCGTTACATGCACGTTTCGCGGCCCCATAGGGAGCTCCACCGAAGGCCCCACTAGCGGTGCCCACATGCGTCCCCGCCGCCCTTTTCGGCACACCCCGCCCACATTTCGTGGCCCCATAGAGGACGAAGCTCGACCTGAAACCCGAGAGACGGTGCCTCCATGTGTCCCCGTCACACGTTTCGTGGCCCCCATAGGAGCTCCACCGAAGGCCCCAGTGGCGCAGTCCACAAGCACCCCCGCAACGCATTTCGGTACACCCCTCACACGTTTCGTGGCTCCATAGGGAGCTCCATTGATGGCCCCAGTGGCGGTGCCCACATGCGTCCCAGGCACACATTTCGGCACTCCCCTCACATGTTTCGTGGCTCCAAATGGGGCTCCACCGAAGACGATACTCACAACTGCGTTGCTCACATCTGCATATGGTTGGGCCTTTCGCCAAACTCATTATTTTGCTAGCCACGTCCCTTGGTTCCCACCTGTCTTGCGGAACTCGCACGTGAAGATGGTTGGGCCATTCGCCAAGGTCATTTTCACCAACCGCTTCAACAACAATCGCTGTACGATTGCCACCGTGTTGTGGAAACAGGAACAGCACCCGCGATGTGAACGACGGCGAGGCAACGCGGAGACTGAATGGAGGAAAGGGCAGGGCAAGCGTCTAGGGGCGTCCACGGTCGAAGACGGACGCCGATCTTACTTGTGCTCTCGGTCCGCCAGTCCTGCTGCGCTCGACATGCGTCAGATAATGGTAAGTAACAGCGAAGGCCACGCCTGAAAATAGGACGACCCCTGCTGCCACTCCAACCACACTCCTCCAACTCCTACTGCCACTCCACCTGCAGCTCCTCCACCTCTCCTCCTCCTCCTGCTCCTCCTCCTCCTCCTCCTCCTCCTCCGTCTGAGTCCTTCTTCTCGGCCCGTTCCTCCTTCCTGAACCCCGTCCTCTTCCTACTTTTCTTCCTCCTCCTCGTCCATTCTGTCCTTCGCCCCTTCTTCCCCCTCCTCCTCCCTTCAACCTAATTATCTCACTCATCCCACCTGTCTCCTCCTCTTTCACCATCTCCTCCCCCTCCTCAGCCCACGCTTGGCATGCTTACGGGGGTGGCCCACGCTGTATGTATTTCTACGCGGGTGCCCAGGGCCACATCCCGCCTTCTCAGTCCCCGACCTTTCGCCCTTTTGAAGTACCTGCATCGGGTATCGCTGTCTTCAATCTGGCCTCAGCTGGAAAATCTTGAATGCAATTCCTCCTGCTTGGCCACGTCGCTGTCGCTTTCTGCCTGTGAACTTGCACACTGTCTCCTTGGCCATCGAATTCTTCACGTTCACCTCCCAAACGGCTTCGCCCCGTCGATGAGTGTTGCCTGTGGTCTCGTGAGTGTTCATGGACGTTTCCACGATCGAGAATAATCCCGAATCTGATTTTATACACTCGACGACGTCTTGGCTAATCCCTTCGCCGCCCAGTCTCCACAATGCTGTCCTGATCAATACCTTAGCAACGCCGACCTTGCCAACTCGAACCTTGTGCTTGCTAGTAGAACAGCTTGTATCCTCCTTTTGTCTGCCTGTCGCCTCGCGCAGTCTAAACTGTGCAATGCATGAAGCAATTGCTGACCATTCCTTTCGTGCTGCGACGAAATGTAAATTCAGACCGTCCATACGCGACTTAAGGCGTCGCACAGAAACTTGGACGTCGCTGCGCTGTTGTGTTCCTTCGTCATCCAAATCGAGGCTGCGCAAGCAAGCTAAAATGACTGCACGAATCTTTGCTTGCAAGGCGGCCTCGATCCGTGCCTGTGCATCTTCGGTCATCCTCTGCCCTGTGACTTTCCGAAGCTTCCGCCTGGGCTTCGCAAGCCATGCAACTCCCTCCAAGAGAGCCCTGCATATTCGAAGGGCATTGCCAGATTCGCAAGCCTCAGTGGCTTCTTTCAAAAGGGCCTTCACATCAATCGCTTGCTGCGAGCTCTTGTGGAACTCCTCCTGCTTCTTCGCGAGCCTCCTCCACATCTTCGCTTGGCGAACAACAGCGCTTTTGGAATTTATTTCCTTCTCGGCAGCGTTGTGGCCAGAATCCCTGGCAACCCAAACTGCAGGTGGTGGTAACGCAGTTCTGGGCTCTGACGGTGCAAACGGTGCCCCAGCACAATGCTCAGCGCCAATGCCAATTTTCAACGCACTCCGCAATGGCAGGACGTGGCGAAGCTCGCTCCAGTCCCTCAGTGCAGATCCCGGGGCCCCGCGGGCGAACACCTCGGCGAGCCGATCCCGCACGGGGATCAGGGCGGCTCGCAGACGCGGCGTCAGCCTCCCTGGTCCTCGCCGACGGAGCATCCCAGTCAGAACACGAACAGGGGATAAGCTGCCTCTGCCGACGGAGCGCACGGCAAGTTCAGCAGGAAGGAGCCCGACCCACGCACAAACATGACACGTGTGCTGCAGGAGCTTTCTCCGGGTCAACGTCATCCAAGAATCGGCGTACCTTTGCAGAACCGACTCCCGGACTGAGCTCTCGAGGTGTTTCCTGGCGTGTCGCTTTTGCTTCGCCACCATTGCATCATTGAAACTCGAATTCGCAGATCTACCCAGACCTCCGGCGTTATGCTCTTCACAACGTCGACCCTGGGAGGTCCTGACCCCTTCAACGGACCGGTCTTTCATCCTGGGCTAATTCTGAACGGCCCAAGGAGCGGCATGGCCCTCCCATGGGCCGAAACCTGTTCAAACTCTAACTCTCTCTCTCTCTCTATCTCTCTTTGTTGGTTTGTTTGTTTTTGTTTTTTCCCTACCTAGGCTCTGCCTAGAAGGGTTCTTACTCTCTTAGCTTAAAGGGGCCGGGCAACGGAAAACGCCCCGGGCGGTTCCCCCAGGATCCGCCCCGCGGTTCCCCCAGTTGCGTCCCCTTAGCTTAGCGTTGCTTATCTCATCTTAGCTTAGCTTATTTCATCTTAGCTTAGCTTAGCTTCAACTTAGCTCAGGTTTATCTTAGCTTAGCTTACCTTCATCTTAGCTTCGCCGAGCTTTAGCATAGCAGAGCACAGCATAGTATAGCAGAGCGTAGCATGGCATAGCGAAGCACAGCATATCATAGCCCAGCATAGCATAGCATAGCGCAGCATAGCATAGCATAGCATAGCATAGCGCAGCACAGCACAGCATAACACAGCGCAGCATAGCATTAGCATGGGTGAAATTCCCGACCTAGGCTCTGCCTAGAGGGATAGCTTAGCTAAGCTTAGCTTAGCTTAGCATAGCATAGCGCAGCGCTGCATTAGCATAGCATAGCATCGCATAACATAGCCAATCATAGCATAGCATAGCATATCATAGCGCAGCATATCATAGCATAGCATATCATGACATAGCGCAGCTTAGCATCACATAGCATAGCATATTATAGCTTATCATATCACAACATGCCATATCATAGCTTAGCATATCGTAACATAGCATAGCATAACGCAGCATACTACAGCATATCATAACATAGTATAACGCAGCATATCATGACATATCATAGCATAGTATAGCATAGCAACGAATGCTGCTTTCCTAGGGGCTCCAACTTCTAGGTAGGGTCGCACTGGGGTAATTATTATTTTTCTTCTTCCTCTTCTTCCACGACGCGAGGAGGTCGGGGTACCACTGGCACGTCTTCGTCGCTTCGCCATGGCCCGGGGCTTGGGGCGACACGGCCAGCTCGGGCGAGCATGACGTGCGCGCCAGCTCCTCCCTACCCTTCTTGCCACACAGAGCGGCCCCGTGGCAGCACGCTATGGGATGCGACGGTGCGTCACACGTAGACGTGCAGACTCTGGCTTGAGCCCCAAAGCGCCTACTGTTCGGGTCGCCCGGCCTAGCAATGACCCCCCTGTCCCCCAGGGCGCTCGAAGGAGTCCTAGAACTCTCGAGGGCCTTCTCGTGGAATCCGCTTGCTCTGGGGGGTCGAGGCCACGCGGAGAGAGAGAGAGAGAGAGAGAGAGAGAGAGCAAGAGATGGCAGTTCGAGTACGCAGACTGGCTCGAGCTCCAAAACGCCTACTGCTCGGGCCGCCCGATCTGGCAATGGGCCCCCTTTTCCCCCACGGCGGCCGACGGAGTAGGGCCCGAGGGCTTCCTCATGGAGTTCGCGTGCTCTGGGGGGCTTCCTCATGGAATCCGCTTGCTCTGCGGGGGCAGTTCGGGTGCCGTTGCTCGGCTACACGTAAGAGCGACCCTGGGCAAGAATGACCTCTGGAGCGCGACTTGGCGGGGGGCGCGGGGTGGCCGAGCCCGGGCGCGCGAGCCGCGGCTGTAGCACCTCGCGCTCAGCGATCGGGGGACCCCAGTGGGCCCGCACCAGAGGTCCCTCCGGCGAAAGGTCACCACACTCACGTCTAGTCGACGCTGCACCAGGGGCCCTGGGCCCCGAGGCGCCCCTCCTGGCGGGGGGGGCGAGGATGGGGACGGAGCAGACAAGAGAGGCAGTCTGACAGCTCAGACGATGTCCGTGCAGGTCAGGCTTCTCAAACGCCAGCCAGGGGATCAGATTCCGCAGGATGTCTGCAGTCTAGTGAGCCCCAGCGGGGTGTCACATACCCCAGCGTCGAGTGGACCTGCGGGGGTAAGGTTCGCAAGAGGTGGCTTCGAAATCCACAAAACCTCCCCGCACGGTCAGTCACCGCAATGCTTTGGGACCCTGAAGCCCCTGGTCACCCGAGACATCCTCGGAGTACGGCCCAAGTCCCCCGCAGCCGTGCGGCCACCACGAATCCCCACTGACTCACCCGACGGCTGCGGTCACAGACTTCCGACCGTGCGGTCCATGGAGCCTGCTTGTGAGCTTCCGCTGACCTTCTGGCGATTCCAGGGACCCGGCGCCTCCGTGGGGCCTCCCGAAAGGCTCCAAGAGCCCGGAGCAGCCCAGGGAGAGTGGCGCAGTGTGATCGCGAGGGGTGCACCCCGACATCTGGCGCTTCGGTTCGTCTTTTTTCCATGCGTCGGCCTCAGGACTCCTTTTGGACCCCTTCCCCAGGGCCAATCTTAGTCCCGAGCCGCTCCTATGACGTTCCCTGGGGGGGCGAAAAAGCATCGGTACCGCAACTCCCTGGACATATCTTAGGGTGCGTTCTGACGAGAGTTTCGAGGAGAAGCCAGCCGTGGTGACGAAGACACCCCAGAACGAACAACGCTTTGGCACCTTTTCTCCCTCCTGAGCCCCGAGGCCCGAAACCGGCCCCCGGAGGCCCAAACCTACGCTTCCGAGGGATCCCACATACGCAGTTTAAGTCTTTTGTGCTCGCTTATCATGTTCCCATCGAAGTTTTGCATAACATGCTTACTTGCAATTTGATATGCTCGCTTATCATACGGAGTTTAGATATCATGTGTTCGCTTAGTGTAAGTCTGATGTGTTCGCTGTTCATACTTAGTTTGAAACTTACGTGTTCACTTATGTTAAGCCTTATCTTCGCTTATCATACTTAATTTTAGCCTTAGGAGTTCGCTTGCATGTTCGCTTATCATCCTGCCTTCTGAACCCTCGTCGCGAATGCTTCCCTATCTGTAATCCAGCGCACCATTGCTTGGACATACTCCCTTCGCGCTCAGGGACCACCGCCCGCGCGCCCCCTCTCGTGTCGAGAAAAAGTCACGCCTGGCATGCCCTGCGCCATGACCCGCATAGAGGCCGCGCTCAGGGACCACCCCCTGAGCGCTCCCTCGGGTGTCGAGAAAGTGACACGTCTGCTGTACTCTGTGCCATGGTCCGCATCGAGACCGCGCTCAGGCACCAACCCTTGCGTGCCCCCTCTGGTGTCGAGAAAATGCCGCGCCTGCCGTGCCCTGCGCCATCGCCCGCATAGAGGCCGCGCTCAGGGACCACCGCCCGCACACCCCCTCTGGCATGGAGAAAATGGCCACGCCTGCTGTACCCTGCGCCATGGCCCGCATAGAGGCCGCGCTCAGGGACACCCCTTGTGTCAAGAAAGTGCCACGTCTGCCGTACTCTGCGCCAAGGCCCGCAGAGACCGCGCTCAGGGACCCCTCCCGTACATCCCCTTCTGGCGCAGAGAAACTGCAGCGCCTGCCATGCCCTGCGGCAAGGCCCGCATAGAGGCAGCCTCAGGGGCCAACCCCCGCGCACAACCTCTGGTGTCGAGAAAGTACCACGCCTGCCGTACCCTGCGCCATGGCCCGCACAGAGACCGGGCTCAAAGACCACTCCTGCGCGCCCCCTCTCGTGTTGAGAAAATGCAGCGCCTGCCGTACCCTGCGCCATGGCCCGCATAGAGACCGCGCTCAGGAACGCCCCCCGTATGCCCCTTTCTGGTGTAAAGAAAATGCGGCGCCTGCCAGGCCCTCCGGCATGGCCCGCGTAGAAGCCGCGCTCAGGGGCCAACCCCAACGCATCACCTCTGGTGACGGGAAAGTGCCACGCCTGCCGTGTCTTGCAAGGTGGCCCGCATAGAGACCGCACTCAAGGACCATCCCCCGCGCACCCCCTGGTGTCAAGCAAATACCACGCCTGCCGTGCCCTGCGGCATGGCCCGCATAGAGGCCGCGCTCAGGGACCACTCCTTCGCGCTCCCTATCGAGTTGAGAAAGTGCCACGCCTGCCGTACCCGGCGCCATGGCCCGCATAGAGGCCGCGCTCAAGGACCACCGCCCGCGCAAACCCTCTGGCGTGGAGAAAGCGCCACGCCTGCCGTACTCTGCGCCATGGCGCAAAGACCGCGCTCAGGGACCCCCCCCTGCGCGCCCCCTCTAGTATCGAGAACGTTCCACGCCTGCCATGCCCTTCAAATCTTGGGCGTCTGTGCTGTGTGGTGTGCGTGTCATGTGAGTTGGTAGGTCTGCGTCTGTCACGTGTATGAGATATAGAGAGTGTGTATGTTGTGTGTCAGGCTGTATGTGGACGCGTGCCTCATGTGGGTGCCCAGTATGAGGTGCATAAGTTTACGTTTTGGGTGCGTGATGCAGTGAACACGCCAAGTGTGCACTATCGTTTTATGGTGTGTATGTGTGCGCGCGTGTGCAACTGTATGTAGACGCGTGCCTTGTATGGGTGCCGTGTACGTGTGGCGTGTGGATGAGGCGAGGAAGGAAGAGGAGGATGGGAAAGTGGAGGCGGGTGGGTGAATGAGACGCGGGTGCGACGCGAATGGGAAGAGAACCATAACCCCACGAAACATGTGAAGAACACGAACAAACTGGACGCCTCGACTTCTCAGAGGCGCTGGCGGTCTGGGCGGAGGGGAGGAGGAGGATGACCAGTGTAATTCCAAGATGCACCAACGATATTGCAATAAACCCTCCCTCCAAGCTTCCTCTTCGTCGGTCCCTATGAAATCTTAGTATCACTGCGGGAATTGGCCCAGTAGAAGACGCCCGTCTGGCAAAACACCGTTCCTGCGACTTCAACGCCGCGGATCAACGTGACTGTTGCATTCTGGCGGTCCTGAATCGTGCCAGAAACACCGTTCCTGGGACCTCAACACCGCGGTCTGGGCGGCGGCGGAGGAGGAGGAGGAGGAGGAGCAGCAGCAGCAGCAGCAGGACGAGGACGACGAGGACGGGAGGCGGAGGAAGGTGCCTATTCTCGGCAGGTGGCCAGCACCGCGCGGAGGTCACCCCGACGCGAGACCGGTGGGCCGCCGGGCGGTGCCCCGGGGAGCACGACGC